TGAAATTCTACCATTGCAGTCTGAAAGTCATTGTAATAACAACCTTAGATTAGTACAAATGTAACATGAAAAGCAGTGGAATATCTCTCCCTTCTTCTTGCATTCATTGTATCTACTTAAAGATTTTATTGCAGGTTGTTTTTATTTTTTTGTAATTAATGTAAAATGTACCCTTAGATTTTGAGGAAAATATCTGTTATTGCAAAGCCATTGAAGTATTTTTATTCATCTGTAAACATATATATGACAATTTTCAGCAAGAGAAGAGACAGTTGCTGAAACAGCTGTTAGTGTGGAAACTCAGCATTCTTTCTGGATCATTTTGCTCCAAAGACTGCATATAGTAGAGCAATATTTTCTCATCTACGTAAAAAACATTGTGATAAAAATATATTAGAGAAAGCATACTCACATCATCACAAGCATTGGGATTATTATCATATGAGGAATCTTGTGACTCCTAGAAGGACATCAGATATCAGTTATTTCTTCACAAAAATGAATTGCTAAAAATACACTTTCATGTTTACTCTACCAGAGAGAAGAGATGCTCATGCAAAAAAGAAGCAGAATTAAATTAAATTAGGATCTTTATAAGAGAAAAAGGAGCCAAATCCATAGCTGCAATAGTGGCTGACAGGGAATTTTCCAATCTTCAGTAAAGAAAAAAAAAAAACCCAACAAAACAAATCCAAACCAAGAAGAGCACAGAAATAATTATGTTTTATTAGATCTTTGAGTTGATATAGGGACTACAAAATTGATGCAGGGACTACAAATATTATGTAACTAGGAGAAAGAAAGAACTACTTACCTGATTATCATAATAGGTGTCTGAGGAGGATCCACCCTTTAAAACAAACAGAAAACCCAGTCAAAACTGGAGAAAGCTACAATATAGAAAACCTGATTTTGAGCAGAGGCTAAAGTTTATATGGAGTGATGTATAAGCAGTGAAATAGAGTATTACTTACTTGGCCACCACCATAGTTTTGTGAGTAGGATCCATCCTGTAAAACAAACAAATATAAACTCTGCTTCAGAGGAAACTGTGATTTGGTTCAGAGGCTGTAAAGCTGGAATAAACAATTGCCTAGGATTCCTTTGAACAAATACAATTTTCAAGATATGTGGATAAATTATCAAACATTATAAAAATTCTTACCAGGAGAAAATCAAGGTCTGCCTACCTGGTTGTCACCATAATTCTGGGAAGATGATGATCCACCCTGCTAAAACAACAAGAAAATAATTAGAATTTACATTACCATATTGCCGGTCAGATATTGATCAGTCATTACTGAAATTAAAACCATAATAAAACCTTGGTGGGAGGCAATACTTACTTGGCTACCACCATAGTTTTGTGAGGAGTACGAATCACCCTGTGAAAACAAAACAGCAGCAGTCATAATGCTGGAGAGCTGAATTTTATCTGAGTGAGTACAGCTGACCTAGGTAGCTGAGTTCTATGAAAATTCTGTGTAACTTCCACTTTTACATAAGCGGAATTTCAGGGCTCATAAAAAAATATGTTTGCAGAGAATGAGTTACAGACTGGACATGGAGAGACTCTGCAAGAGTCTATATCCCCATGTGTAAGAAAACTGTGCTGTGGATTAGAATTGCTTGAAACATTTTTACCAATGGATAGTGAAGATCTACTTACCTGACCACCCTGTGATCCACCCTGTGATCCACCCTGTAAATCAGACAAAAAGGCTTTAGACACCCACTGTTTGACCATGGAATATTTTTGATAAAGCTATGATACTTGCTTAGGAAGAGTAAGAAGTAGAGGCAGATATAAAATATGAATATAATTTTTAATGTAATGAGCACAGATTGCCAATAATGCAATGGTAAATACTAGATGAGACATAAATCAAGGAACCTCAAACATTTAAGTAATTTCTAGTGCATGCATGAGCTCCATTATGAACACTTTCTAGAGAATGTATCTTGTTTTTTTCTCCTGTAGAAAACCTAATTTATACAAATGGAATGAATTTATATAAATTCTCTTGGTAGCATTATCATACAGGAAGCTGTGACCTCTGACAGACAGTGGCCTTGAGGAAAAGGTTTTAAATAAAACACTCAGTATATTTCAATGTGCCCTCTTCCAAAGAGGAATGTAACTCCTTCCAGTGAATCAGAAGAGATATTTCTAGAAGTATTAGTGCCAAAAGTACATAATAAGAATAGTGAAATACTGAATTATTTAAGTGAGTTGGATATTTGCCATTCACTAAAATGGGACTAAGGCTTCATTCATAACAAAGAAAAATGAAATGAAAAGTATAATCTTTCAATGTTCTAGAAGATTTCAGAACAAAATTTAAGCATTCTCTTTGGTCTTAAAAAGAAATAGGTTCTCTTAAAAAAAAAAGCTGTTATAAAATATATGCCTATTAAATATATAATTATACCAAGTTATAATATATTACATACAATGCATTGTACATTCTGACCACATAATAATAATGCATCATAGCAACATCTATGCTGTTTGCATATTTATAAATATAGTATATATTGCTAAAACACAGTGTTTGTTGAAGCAATCTATCAAATTTTTCTGTTTCTTATGAAAACTCAGTAAGAATCAAAAGAAGAATTGTGAATAAAAAGGAAATAATTTGTTGCCATTTTCTGCCTAATTTTTAACATCACAGAGATGACTTCTTTAAACATAGGTGACGTCTTTTAGGATAGTGGTTTGTAGAGTTCTAAAACCTGAACTTGCAACAAATACACATGTGGCTATCTATAGTTCACTGCACAAACTTTTTTTCAGGGACTTCAAGCGAAGTTCTAAAATATTTTCTGGCTTTTTGATAGGAAAAGAGAGGTTGCTGAGCTCTAGCCCTGATTTAAGTCACCAGTTAGGCAACTCTGCAGCAGACTTTTTCCAGAATCTGTCCTTAATGTCCCATAGAATTAGACATTTCAAAACATAATGCTAGGAAAAAGGGGCAGAAAAGGCTCCAAAGTCCCTGTGATACTCCTGTGTATAGGAAGAGAGTGAGTTCTGATCTCAAAATTTGTAAGATTATATGGATTTTCGCAATATGAACCTGAATTTGGGACTAATGAGTTAGTGGCAAAAAATAATTTTGTATGCATCTTAAAATAAGAGAAGAAAGCCCATTTACCTGGTGGCAAGGATTGCTATCATAGGAGACACCCTGTCAAAAACCAACCAGACAAAAAAGTAAATGCCATTTTTCTTGCAAAGTAGTTTCCTTACAATTTCCTATGTGAGAATTAGTGTTACAAAATTCAACATCTAACTTTACAGAAAGTGAGTTTAATTTTATTTAACCTTTTAAGTGTGTGGCTTTACCCTCTGCCACTCTCATACCCCCACACAAGCATCAAGACACATTCAAACAGATGATCAAAGGAATACTTGTGAGCCACATGGAAAGCGGTAGGTTGGTAATTGATGTATCTCTGTATCATCCCTTGATTGGGATGATCTCTTGATCTCCACTTGATTGGTAAAGATGTTTGTGGGTTTTTTTTGGAAGTAACTGTTACTGTTGGGTGACCTTCTATGTAAATGTGGCCATCAATCTTTTGCTAGATTCACCACCATGAGTTTTAGGCAAAGTTTCTGCTCAGAGCCATTCATTTGCCTGTTCTGGGTACATTTTGTGATAAGAGGATGAGGTACATACACAGAAATGGTTCTACCCTTGTTGTGACCCTCCCATATTACAGTACAGGTCTTCTCTTGATAAGTCAACCTGTGACACAGCTTGGTGGAAATAACACATTCTTCAGTGTTTATCACTTCCATTGCTGGTAATGGTGTCCTTGTACTGCTCTTATGATGCTTTTGGAGGCATTTCCATTCATGTCTAACTTACATGAATCATAACATTTCTGCTAAATACTACTTAAAAATGTCTTTATCTATGATTATCTTTCATTCTGGTTGCTTTGCTCAATATATTTATTTAAATGTAGATTTACTATTGGCCTCATCCATAATCCTTTCCCCTGGGATCTCATCACTGAATACATTGTTTTTACACCACTATAGACATAGACAAGTTGAAATGGAACCAGGATGAAAACTACTAATGTAGTTATTGCTCCATTTGAGCCACTCTCTATTCCTGTTCTTTTCTATAGAAAATAAATGGAGCAACATCCAAAAATTCCAAAGCAAAGACTTTTAAAATTAATCTGTCTGCTCATTAAGCAGACAGATTAATCGCTTATTTGTTTTCCATATGTAACTCTGAATGGGAGCAGCCATTTCATATTCATTACAATGGCCAACAATAGCTACCTTTCTTGACCTCTGTGATAGATAAGTTCATGTAACAATGAAAACAATAGATTTCAAACTACAAAAAGTATAAAATTATTAAAAACATGTTAGTATTGCAAAGAAAGCGGGGTCTAGTTTTCAAATAGTTTGGAGAGAAAATCTTACTTGTCCACAACCACTGCTGCCAAAATAAGCTGCAGATCCACCCTGCTGGGGAAAAGAAAAAGAGCAGCTCATGATCCAAATATTCTCATTTGAAACATTTTCAAAGGCTTTAGCTGCCAGGCTGCTTCAAGGGTCAAAGACCAACTATATCCAACTGTGCATTATTTGGTAAAATACTAAAATGCATCAGAAAGCTGAGAGCTGAATGCACTCCTTTCTACAGGGAAAAGTGCAGCTCAGTGAACATATTGTTGCCAGAGCAATATGAAAAAGGGTTCACAGGACTTAATTCTAATCTATTATTTCAAGTTAGAAACCACTGGATGCTCAATACATACATGGGAACATCACATACATGTTGTATAACGACTAACAATTGACTGATGCTTACCTGTCCATAGGAACTGCCACCTTGAGGCTGAGAGCCCTGTAAGAAAGGTACAGAGCCATTTGTAAAAAGAACTCTGTAAGTTTAGTCCCAGCACAGCAGAATCACAGAACACCAGAGAGACAAGCCTGTTTCCATGAAAGGTTCTTCTCTACTATGTTACTTGCCCTGTAAGAAAGGTACAGAGTCATTTGTAAAAAGAGCTGTGTAAGTTTAGTCCCAGCACAGCAGAAGCAGAATCACAGAACACCAGAGAGACAAGCCTGTTTCCATGAAAGGTTCTTCTCTACTATGTTACTTTCCCCCTCATGTGTGTTTCAGTGGCACAAACAAATTCAAGGACCACGCAGAAACACTGAGAAGGAAAAAAAAACACCCATGCCCCAAAGCCCATTTACAGGACAGGCTCCTACAGAAAAGCTCAAGACAAAGTCTCACCTGGCCATAGGACTGGCTGCCTTGAAGCAGAATCACAGAACACCAGAGAGACAAGCCTGTTTCCATGAAAGGTTCTTCTCTACTATGTTACTTTTTTTCTCATGGTGTTTCAGTGGCAAAATAAATTCAAGGACCACTCAGAAACACTGAGAAGGAAAAAACCCACCCATGCCCCAAAGCCCATTTACAGGACAGGCTCCTACAGAAAAGCTCAAGACAAAGCAGCAACAAAATCTCACCTGGCCATAGGACTGGCTGCCTTGGGAACCCTTTAAATAAAGAGAAGATAATTACCACCTTGACAAGGAGGCATGATATCTTTGGAAATAACAGCTGCATGTGGGATTCCCTAAAAGGTTTCTTCCTTTTAGGGAAGAAAAGGACACAGAACCGTGTGCTAACAGCTGTGCAATCACATTGTCTTATTCTCAGCAGAAGCCATGGCCCAAATTGAGGCACAGACTGCCAGGGGAAACATCACTCTCAAAAGTCTTCCCATCATGCCAGTCACAGAGAGACCAGTGAAGAACTCTCTACAGAGCAGCCAGTTTGCTTACCTGGCCATAGGAGCTGCTGCTGCTGCTGCCTGAGAAACTTGGTCCACCCTAAGACAAGGACACCTTTTGGTTACTTCCCTTTCAGTAAGGGGTCCAGCCTGCATTAGCAACAGCAGCAAGCAACTACATCCTAAAGCCATGCAGGGCAGAATGCAGAGCCAGGCATCTCCTGGCTCTCCTGAGGTGCTGAGTGGGATGATTTCACACACTGGGACTCCCGATCAACCAGTAGCAGGTGCATACACATTGAGTGTCAATAGACACTTTCAGAGAAAATGTCCTTTAAAGTTCAGATTCTGAGGGTTTGCTAATTGCCTTTATAGTGCTATTTCTGAAATGCTCTATTCTTACTGGTGACTGGATGATGCTTACCTGGCCATAGGAACTGCCACCTTGAGGTCTGTAGCCCTGCAAGGAAGGTAAGAATTCATTTGTAGACAAAGCTATATTGTCTTAGTACAGCAGCAACAGAAAAGTCCATTTCCTCTTAAAGTTCCTCTGTACTATGCTCTTTTTTCCTTCATAGTATTTCAGTGGTACAAACCAAACTCATGGAGCACTCAAAATGTTCAGGAAGGTAAGAAAACAGGCTCCTATGAAAAAGCTCAACATATTTCAGCAAAACATCTCACCTGACCATAGGACTGGCTGCCTTGGGAACCCTATAAATAAAGAGAAGATAATTACCACCTTGACAAGGAGGCGTTATATCATTGGAAATAACAGCTGCATATAGGACTCCCTAAAAGGTTTCTTCCTCTTAGGCAAGAAAAGGACACAGAGCAGTGTGCTAAAACCTGTGCAATTGTGCAGCACATTGTCTTATTCTCAGCAGAAGCCATGGCCCAAATTGAGGCACAGACTGCCAGGGGAAACATCACTCTCAAAAGTCTTCCAGTCATGCCAGTCACAGAGAGACCAGTGAAGAACTTTCTACAGAGCAGCCAGTTTGCTTACCTGGCCATAGGAGCTGCTGCTGCTGCTGCCTGAGAAACCTGGTCCACCCTAAGACAAGGACACCTTTTGGTTACTTCCCTTTCAGTAAGGGGTCCAGCCTGCATTAGCAACAGCAGCAAGCAACTACATCCTAAAGCCATGCAGGGCAGAATGCAGAGCCAGGCATCTCCTGGCTCTCCTGAGGTGCTGAGTGGGATGATTTCACACACTGGGACTCCCGATCAACCAGTAGCACATGCATACACATTGAATGTGAACAGTCACTTTCAGAGAAAATGTCCTTTAAAGTTCAGATTCTGAGGGTTTGCTAATTGCCTTTATAGTGCTATTTCTGAAATGCTCTATTCTTACTGGTGACTGGATGGCCATAGGAACTGCCACCTTGAGGTCTGTAGCCCTGCAAGGAAGGTAAGAATTCATTTGTAGACAAAGCTATATTGTCTTAGTACAGCAGCAACAGAAAAGTCCATTTCCTCTTAAAGTTCCTCTGTACTATGCTCCACCTTGAGGTCTGTAGCCCTGCAAGGAAGGTAAGAATTCATTTGTAAACAAAGCTATATTGTCTTAGTATAGCAGCAACAGAAAAGTCCATTTCCTCGTAAAGTTCCTCTGGACTATGTTCATTTTTTCCTTCATAGTATTTCAGTGGTACAAACCAAACTCATGGAGCACTCAAAATGTTCAGGAAGGTAAGAAAACAGGCTCCTATGAAAAAGCTCAACATATTTCAGCAAAACATCTCACCTGACCATAGGACTGGCTGCCTTGGGAACCCTAAAAATAAAGAGAAGATAATTACCACCTTGACAAGGAGCCTTTTTTAAAGAGCATGATGTTTATAAGAATCCAGCTGTCTGGGGATTTCCCAAAAAGCACAAAAGAGACAGAGCAGTATGCTAATAGCCCTGCAATAGATTGTCCTATTCTCATCAGAAGCCATGACTGCCAACCTTGTGCATATTGAATACTCTTGATGTTGAGTAGTGGCCTCCCTGTGGCCCTGATCCCTAAATCCCATACCTACCATTTTGAAAGAGTTTTCTTGTTGCATGAGTGCTGCAGAGAATATTGATGGACTTTTGCATCTCTCCTACCCCCAGCCCCCAAGAGAAGGAAGACCTAAAGAGCCTTCAAACTTGAGTTCATACTATATTTTCAAGTTTTAGTTTACAATAATTTATGGTGCCTCTGTGTGAGTATTTTCTAGAATTCCCTCACTTTTTATCTTTTTTTTTCCACACAAGTAGCTTTATCTTCATGGCTTTAAGCAATGCTGGAAGACACTGCACATAGTTCCACGATTATGATTTTTCATCATTCTTGATATGGCTAAGCAACTACCCTTTACAACTTTTGGAATTTGAGGTCTAATATGCATGGGCTCTGAATCTATCAGTGTGGGCTGATGGTGTGGTAATGAGCCTCGAATCACTTCCTCTCAGGTCTTTGATCCTTGTGCTCTGAGTGGAATACACTCATTCATGCCAACCCAGCACACATGGAAATGCATTTGTGAGCATCACAAACAAAATCATTAGAATACCAGTATCAGATGGTATTTTCATGAACAAAAGCCTGGGAAATAGAAATACCTGGACCTGTAAAATCCATTTTTAAATTCAGAAAATAATTTGTTTGTAAGTTGTGCTGCTTATCAGATGGTATTTTCATGAACAAAAGCCTGGGAAATAGAAATACCTGCACCTGTGAAATCCATTTTTAAATGCAGAAAGTTGTAAGTTGTGCTGCCCCTGTTTTAGGGAAGTCTGTAGGAATATTTATAACACTTTTACAGTTTACTTACCTGAAAATAAGTACTGCTGCTGGTTTGCTGTTTTTGTCCACTCTACACATGAACAACAACAAAAAAAAAAGTTATTTATTTTTAAGAGGAATTGCTTATGCACTAACCCATTTCAAGATGCAATTCTGTCCTCCTGTCTACTAAACAATTGAAGACTACGAAGTTTATTACACCTTTTCTTACTTTATGTCATCTTCACATGCTAAAAAATGTATATAAGAATCCTACTCAAATGAAGTGTTAAAAGTATTTATATATCTTGATATGATTTTCTTAATGAAAATTAATTGTATAATACATCTTTGTGTCATATTATGGTATTTGAAGTAAGTTAAAATAATTCTGCCTTTCAAATGTACCTCACAAATTGCCTTAAACCCATATCTATTTGTATTCATATTATGCATTATTTTTTCATTAATAAGCACAACAAACTTTTGACAAAGGCTTTGTCAAAACAAAAATTGAAAAATCCACAGTTAAAATTGACATAAGGAAAAGCCACTGCAAAAAATATTTTGATTTCCAGAAAATATTTAAATTATGAGAGGAATAAAATATTTTTTATATTTACACACTGAAAACAGTTAACCTGCATAATCAAAACACTGTATATTTTAAGTCAGAAATAAAATAACAAGGAAATCTTATTCCTTTATTTGCCAGCACTCATCGCTAGTCATGGAAGAAAATAATGCTACACATTTTGAAATCAATGGTTTTGGAAAGACAAATTTCAGCTGGGGTAACCTGCTACTGATCTTCCAATAAAAGTGAGAATTTGTTGTCATAATCTGATGGACTGGCATCCAGTGGACTGACTAGCCATTAACAGTGGGATGGATGCTAAAATGACAAAGAACCCAGAAAAATATGTCTGAATGATATTCATAATATTTTAAAGCATGCTTGTAGTGTGATTAGACTGCAAACAATTTTCCAAATGCCTGGTTATCAAGAAGCAACACTACAAATACAACAGTTCACCTAGGCATTAACAGCAGGATTTTAAAAATGTAATTCTGAATGGATGTTTCCATTAAAAAATGGACCGTTTAAATGAAAATGAATTGTGCAGGTTGCAATTTATATTTGATGTGATACTGAGTAACATTCAAGCTTTAGTTTTTCCAAATGCCTGGTTATCAAGAAGCAACACTACAAATACAACAGTTCACCTAGGCATTAACATCAGGATTTTAAAAATGTAATTCTGAACGGATGTTTCCATTTAAAAAATGGACTGTTTAAATGAAAATGAACTGTGCAGGCTGCAATTTATATTTGATGTGATACTGAGTAACATTCAAGCTTTAGAATTCCATCCTCCTTCCTGAGCAGACCGAGATGGTCAAATGTTGCCAATTTAGAGAGCTCAATAGAATTTGCATACAGAGGTTTAAAATTTTTTTACATGTAGGAAACAGCTGCAATAGTCTTTATGCAGTAACCAGCTAAGATATCCCCTTTGCTCTAGTCACAGAAATGCCCTAATCCACCACTGTAGTTCATGACCATCTAAGATATCTCTAAGTTATCCACACTTATATGTTCCCTAAGAGAGGAATTATTACTTAGTTTACTAAGGCAAATCTTCATTTAAAACTCAAGTGTAATGGAGAAAAAATGTCTACCTGTACTATGATCCTTGTAGCAGAGCTTCCCAAACTCTGAAAAAAAAAATCCAGAAACAAAGAAACATAATATAGCACATCTAATTGACTGGTTTAATGCAATGCATTTAATCAGAAAATGCTAAGTTAGTATTTACTATTTATAAACTATTTACTCTGTGAGAATAAAGGGAAAGGTCATATGTGTGATGCACTGTGTACCAGTTCCCAACACCTAGCATTAAGATAGTTTATTCTCAGTTCTGAAGGTTTGGGGAGGCAGACTGACCCTACTAATTCTCTACTCTTACATCTTCTGTGGAGAGCAGCAGAGCACAGGTTATGTGCACAACTTTTTTGCACTACCAGTCAGCTTGGGGTTTCCAAATGTGGGGAGGGAAGCTGAGACATCATCACCCCTCCAGCCTGTCTCACTGTCACCTGCACTGCTCATACATCAACACACACAAATCCACTTCCTCACGAGGCATTTTTTTGCTGAATTCTGAGGCATGAGGGACAAATGTAAAAGAGCAGCACACACCATCCTGAGACAACTGGTTTGATCCCATAAGAACTATGATGATCCTAGGAATCAAAAGAAAAAGTATTCTTACCTGAGGGAAGGTGTGACGCTGCAAAGAAACAGAAAAATCTTTCATTATTTTGCACAAGGGCATGCCCAAACAGAATATTGTAGCAGAGAAAGGCAAAAAGGGCCCTTATCTTTCAGATGTAATTCATAGTGGAATGTGAAAGAATTATATAAAAAGGATTTCATAGAATAAATGCATCTTAACCTTTATTCAAGTTAGAACAACACATTCTATTAGAAATTCAACATATATAAAATATTTCATTATAAAAGCTCACTTCAAGCACCTGAAAGCTAAACTTAGTTTTAGTCCCAAGTAAGCAGACTGGAAAAGTAATAATTAAAAAGTGAGAATGGAAGTAAACTTGCAGAAGAAAATTTCAATAGAAACAGAAAATTAAAACTATTTGGGAACACAGAGACTGCATACATGGAGAGACCTGGTGTCTGCAGCTAATCCATTGTCTCTGCAAGTATTAACAGCAATCACAGAACCATGAGGTTTGTAGCTATCTTATAACACACCTTCCCTGAAGAGAACTATACACATAGGGTAAATCTTGCCTGCCAAAAAATGTCTCCAGGAATATTTCTGAAAATTAAAAACGTTGCTGTTTGAAAGCTTTTTGGGTTGAAGTTATTTGTAGGGAAAATGTGTATTGTAGAGAAAAAGAGCTTACCACAGGTGGAAAAGGGTTGCTGTTGGCGACGACCACAACCTGTGGAGAAACCAGAGGAAGCTATTTACTTACCATAAAGATTATTTATATATTACTAAATATGTCAGAAAAATGAAGAATACTAAAATTTGTAAATTTACAAACTCTGATAATAATGCTATGGAAGATCCCTCTTATAAAATGGCATTTTTATTTAAAAATTAATGCACATCACCAAGGTGCTGTTGGCGACGACCACAACCTGTGGAGAAACCAGAGGAAGCTATTTACTTACCATAAAGATTATTTATATATTACTAAATATGTCAGAAAAATGAAGAATACTAAAATTTGTAAATTTACAAACTCTGATAATAATGCTATGGAAGATCCTTCTTATAAAATGGCATTTTTATAAAAAAAATTAATGCACATCACCAAACAAAGAATTATATATATACACATAGTTTACACAAGAGTATAAGCAGATTAAAGATTTGCCCCAAACCACATGATGACACAGCTGTAGAGGAAGAAGCAGGATTTTCTGTTCTGTACCATATCTACATGCCTGTGCTGTGTGCCCTTTTTTGATCCTCAACTTTCTACCCCAAACTAGAACATCAATTTATTTTGTCTTTATTTAATATTATGATAAAAAATAAAAAAGACTTGATATTGAGTTCATTCAAAAAACCCCCAAAATAAGCCAAATAGAATAATAGTATCTTCTGCTGTGTTAATGTTCTCTCATTAGAAGCTCTCCCAGCCTCTAAGAACCAAATCAAATAATATGAATCAATCTGGCTTAAAACCTTGAAAAGTCTTGACTGAAATAACAGGAGTCACACCAAGTTATAACTGTAAGAATTTTTCCCTTTGAACAGAGTGCTTACCTTCTTACTGGAATCCGAGCTGCTTGCAGGGACAGACTGTAAAGAATACAGAATTCACTTGTTACTTAGGTAAATGTATGGCAAATTAACTACAGCACTATTCTCCACAAGAATATTGTACTAATATGATACCCATGAGGTACAAAACAAAGTAAGAGTCTGAAGAAAGTGAATGTATTGGCAGTTAATAAATTAACAGCTGCAATAAATCAACTGGTTTAACCTTCTTTAAAAAGCCCAATTATTTTGCTAGTTTTACAGAGTACTATATAAAAGCTGCAAATGTTTCATCAAATTGTAAGTATGTTTGTAGGAAAAAAATCTCTTGGTAGGAAAAAAAAATTAAACTCTTCTACCTTCATCCAAAAAACTAACCCAAAAGCAAAAAAAAAAACCCTTTAATTCTTAGTAACCATCAAACAAAGCACTGACTTTTGGAAAAGCATAGCAAAAGTAACTGGTGTCCCTTTATAGAATAAATATAATTGATTTTTGGTGGAAAATAGAAATAGGGATACAGAAACAAACACCAAATATGTCATTTATCAGATGAAGATATTTCCAGGTATGATCACTACTAAATCATTTGAAGAAAATTTTCCTTTATCCCCTTCCACAAATTTAATTATTGTTTGGAAAATTTAGGCATAACTGCCTAGATTTTGAATACCTTAGGAAGCTAAAAAGATGTTGAAAAATACAGTTACCTGACCATAAGTAAGACCACTGCCGGATAAGGATGCACTCTAAAATAAAAAATGTAAATCAGGTATTTATTTATACAATAATTTACTAATTATTAATTTTTTTCACGTGAAAAAGAATTAAATGAGAGGGACAATAGAAATTCCTCTACTAATTAAAGAATTAATATGCAAAGATTATAAAGAATCTCTAATAATATTCCAAAATATGCAATATCCAAAGACAATAATTTTACCTGATAAAAAACATTGCACAGTAAGAATTCTAACATTTTAGTAGGGAAACAAATTAAGAGTTTCTAATAGGTGATATTGTGTATCACCAATGTGTATATATACACCTTAAAACATAAATTATTAGGCTGTGAACTGTCAGTGTAATACCTTTTAATTCTGGGGGAATTAATATGCAAAGATTATAAAGAATCTCTAATAATATTCCAAAATATGCAATATACAAAGACAATAATTTTACCTGATAAAAAGCGTTACGCACTAAGAATTCTGACATTTTAATAGGGAAACAAATTAAGAGTTTTTAATAGGTGATATTATGTATCACTTATGTGTACATACACACCTTAAATTATTAGGCTTTGAACTGTCAGTGTAACACCTTTTAATTTTGGGATTTAATTTCAGAACAATACCTCAAGCTAACACTATTTTCCTGAATATATTTAGGAAGACTTCAATAGCTCTACAGAACAGAATCAAATGCAATTTTCAATAAGCAGATGAGTTAAGAAGCATAGTAGGAGAAAATCAGTAAAAACATATATAACCAGCTTACATCTCTGCAGGCTTGTAGGCCATATGCACCAGCAGCACCTCCCTAAGACAAAAAATAAACCAGTTATTTCTCATCAGTATTTCTATTTGTAGCAGAGACACCCACATGAACATTCATTAAATAATGCCATTGAAAGCTAGGAGTTACTATGAATATAGTTATGCTATATTCATAGCTGGTGACGTAAAAATAGTACTTACGGGGCCACATCCACTCTTGCTTATTGTGTAGACTACTCCACCCTGAAATAAAAACAGAAGTAAATTATTTCCATATAAAAAACTCAAATGGACAAGGGAGAAAAAACCCAATGCCATGCTATTTATGACATGAAAAGCTGTGCAGCTGACAGTGTGTATGTGCAAGCAAGGATAAGCAAATAAAGAGGTTACCAGTTCACTGGCCCTGCCTGTAATAATTCTAATTTAGTGTGAGACATCATCTGTATTTCATATAAGTTTCATCAGCTTTGTCGCTGGTCATGAAATCTTTCAAAATGTTACTGAATGGCCCATATTTTATGAAAAAATTAATAACTTCAAGTAGTTATATGACAAGATGAGAAACTCAATTCTTAGAAAAGAATATGTATTATATATTAAAAAATACAAGGAAGAAAACCAGATTTTAGCATATGTATCAAAATAATTTGCATTACCCTGCATCTGGTAATTCATTAAAAGCAGTAAAGATTGAAGAAATGGAATGTTACCAGATAATTCACTAATAAACATAACCACTAATAAGTAGTAAGCAATACATCCTTGATAACCTCAGTTCAATAAACTGGAGACTCACCAGAAAGTATCTAAGAGTCAAAGAGAAAATAGGCACATTAATGGTAGTGGAGATCATCAACTAAAACCCAAGTATACATTGCTGTGATGAATGAAGTGAAAGTGGTGACAATGCAGACATGCATACCCCAGAACTTTAAAAAGGCCAACTAGACAGTGATAGCCCCAGATTTTCAGCTGCAAAGATAGCCTGGTGTTAAAAGCAATACAGACATGAAACTGGAGCAAGCTATTGAGTTCAAGAGAGTGGAGGTAGTTGAACTCAGCCCAGGTACAAACACTGGATAAACACCTCTGCCATTCTGACTTAACTAGTAGAGCAGATATTTCAGTACAGCATTAAATCACCTCACATTATAGAATTTTAATAATTCAGCATTACTGAAGGAAAACATACAAATGCTGGAATTGAGGACTCATACCTGACTGCCTGAATAGCTGCTCTGAGAAGAACTGGAAGGTCCAACCTGAAAAGAAACCAGACTGGTATTTATTATCTTGCTGAAAAATCATTTTAAGTGATTTTCAGGAAAGAAAGTTCTACTTGGTGGGAAAAGGAAGAACCCACAAAGTAGTTTTCTACTACTCAATCCCACCAATACTATTAAAATTATTTCAGAGATCTTTCAAGACAAATAATCAAAACTGTGCCAATCCAGCTGTTATAAACAACATAATTCTGCTGCTTGCAGATACAAATCCTTTTGTATCTGACCTCACACACTTGATGTCCATCATTGAGGAGGAGATCTACACCACCACAATCATTAAAAATCAGATGAAAGCTTTTTATTTATATGATTATGTAATCATTAACATATTTGCTGTAAAAAAGCAAAGAAGGAAAATAAGCTTCTTCACTGAGCTGCCAGTGAAATTTTTCAAACAAAAAAATCAAATAGCTATATTTTATATCTAGATGATGATTTGCAGAAGGCAAGTAAATAAGTGATCTTGAACAGCAAAAAACCAATAAGAATAAAGAGTGAAAAGAGAAAATAGAAAACTTATATTATAGAGCTACTACAGATTAGCAGAGAAAATCTGTGGAAGGAAATGGTAATGAGGCTGACAACCCTTTAGACAGTTTTGGATTTTTAATCAACAAAGACAAACTAACAAAAAGAAAATGAAATTGAGTTACAAGGGGGATAAAGACATGTCTAAAAGCAAGTTTTGAGTAGGCCTTGAGATCTTGGGTACTTAGCAGGATGGCAATGCCATATTTAGACATTTAGAAGGCATATTTACCATGATGCATCGGCCTGTTGAGTAAGTCCCTCCACGCTGCAAGAGAATACAGGCCCCAGTTACTATTTAGTGACTGGTGTAAAAATATCAAATTACTTTAAACAGGAAATCAACTGAATTCACATTGATGGTCTGAGTGAAGAAATCAAGTGTTTAATTGCTGACAATATATTACACATTTTAATAATCTAATCTGCAAACTAATGTTAACTAATTAAAAATAAAAATACATTCAAAACTGAATAAAACAATGAAAGCATAAATGACATCTTGCTAGGAAAGTAATTTGAATGGTACAATAGAATCTTAATGCTACAAGCATGAAACAACTGGACCAGTAGGATAAGAACTCTAAAACTGGAAGGTGGGAAATTGAATAAAAATTGCTCTTACCTTGTTACATTCTAATTCAATCATAAGCTGTGGGGAAAAAAACCAAAAGAGGAAGCATTACAAAATTATTCACTAGAAAAAAGCCCCTGGCTTATTATAGGAAACAGAAAATACACTTGGTGAAGTGAGAGATTTAAGGCAGGTGTTCACTCTTGGTTACATCACAAGTTCACATAAATCATTGCTGCTGCAGTCCAATACAGTAGATTTGAGGAGGCTCTCTATTCTGGAGCTGCCAATGTTTAACATGTTTCATATAAGCATAATTATTGTCAAAAAAATGTTACCAACTCCTTTCAAGAATGTGCTACTGTTGCAGTTCTCAGGGGTTGAGGCAGCAGTTAAGAATAGCACTGTACTTCAGAAGTACAGTACAATTCTATAACCAATTTTATTATCTTTTTTTTTATTTAAGACATGGATTGTTTTGATAAATAGATTATTACTTTCCTCATTTCTGTAGGAGAAAAAGAGTATTAACTTTATTTTTTAATAATTTTTATAAGAGAATTAGGCAGTTAAATTAAAATTATTGAAAACATCTAATGATTTTGCCTTAGTTAATGAATAAACAAGTGTATATCTTGTATAAAGCCAAAGATACTTTAATTACTGTATTAATTTCTATAATTCAAATACATTAAAACATACCTTCCTTTTACTTTTTCCTGTTGCATTAACTGACGCAGAATTCATAGGTGTGAGAGTTTTGCTTTGAATTCCAACCCAAAAGTTCTCTAGATTTTGAACAACAGTTGCACTAGAGAGAAAACAAAATCATTTATCTTCTATCAAAATATTTCAATATAAAATACTAATAAACTCTTGTCCCCCGTTTCCCTCAGCCAAGAATATCTGCTGGGTTCTGGTTTTAAGTGTTTGCAGTGCAAGTTTCACAGAATACTTTTCTTTGTAGTGGCTTGTATTATCATCCAGCGTAACTTTGAAGATAACTAAAACAAATTAAAAATACTAATAAACTCTTGTCCCCCGTTTCCCTCAGCCAAGAATATCCGCTGGGTTCTGGTTTTAAGTTTCACAGAATACTTTTCCTTGAAGTGGCTTGTATTATCATCCAGCATAACTTTGAAGATAACTAAAACAAATGCTGAGGGATAGACATTGCCTGAAGAGGGATAGCAGAAGAGAGATAGACACTGCTTGAAGAAGCACTGACGCCAGTGGGGAGCACTGGCTCAAATGTCCATAAGAATTGTCCCACACGCTCTGACGATCTGCATCTATGATGGTGAACTGATTCTCATGGCAATAACGAGTGCAAGCAATTGTGGTTTTGTATTCTTTTGTTTGTTCTTGGTATTCCTCAAGATTTAATGAAGCAAGGTAAAGATGGCCCTATCGTAAATCTGCACTTCAAACAATGCAAGCTATCAAATATTTAGGTATTTTCCAATATACTTCAAGCATACATTTTTAGGGTAGGTGGTGTTTTTACAAGGTTCACATCTGCAAAAGCTATCAAATATTTAGGTATTTTCCAATATACTTCAAGCATACATTTTTTAGGGTAGGTGGTATTTTTACAAGGTTCGCATCTGCAAGAAATGTAGCATCAAAAGTAGGCTAAATCCATCTTCTGCTGTTTTCAGAAATTAGTTCATAGGTCATACACTTATTCTAAAATTTATATTAGAAGAATTTACATCAAATTACTATCGTGCCACTGTTCAAAATGAAGAAAGGTACAACTGAATAGGTCTGAATTTCTTTTTTTCAGGGAAGGAGTTACATTCATATTTTGTTGCTGTTGTAATTAAAGAATTCAAAGTGTAAAAAAAGGCTACTCGAAGATCCATTAATAACATTATGGCATCAAAAGTAGGCTAAATCCATCTTCTGATGTTTTCAGAAATTAGTTCATAGGCCATACACTTATTCTAAAATTTATAATAGAAGAATTTACATCAAATTACTATTCTGCCACTGTTAAAAATGAAGAAAGGTACAACTGAATAGGTCTGAATTTCTTTTTTTTAGGGAAGGAGTTACATTAATATTTTGTTGCTGTTGTAATTAAGGAATTCAAAGTGTAAAAAATGGCTACTGGAAGATCCATTAATAACATTATACTTAATGGAATTATTTACATATATTAAGATCCTTAGGACATTAACTTTTACAACTATATCTTGAAATGGAAATAATTTAATTAACACAGTGTGAAGTTATGACAAACTATGAAAAAAACTACGTTGGACAAGAATATCTCAAACAGCAACACAGGTCTATCTCAACAGAAAAAGAAAATTTCAAGGCCATTATGCTTAATGGAATTATTTACATATATTAAGATCCTTAGGACATTAACTTTTACAACTATATCTTGAAATGGAAATAATTTAATGAACACAGTGTGAAGTTACGGCAAACTATGAAAAAACTATGTTGGACAAGAATATCTCAAGCAGCAATACAGGTCTATCTCAACAGAGAAAGAAATTTCAGGGCAAAAAAACCCCAACGAACAACTACTTACATAAATTGAAGCTCTCTAACATCATGTGGAGCAATCCATGTTGTTGTAATCTTCTGTTTCACATCTGAATTTGCATTACTTACTGCTGAATTCTGCAATTAAAAAGAAATAAATATAATTATTTAAATTGTAAGAGTGATTTTAGCTATATTATTACAGAAACTGTCTCTACTACAACAGGTAAGATAACACTGATGCCCTGCTACAAAGAGCCAGAGAATTTTTACATTAGGTTCATACTACATATGATATGAATACATATTTCTTGAGAAAACCTAACCTTTTAAACTCTATTGAAAAAATAGCTTTGCTGTATAAAAATGATCCCTACTTCTATAATTTTAAAGAAACCCAAGCTCCAGTAAGGATTCCAGAGACGACACACATACCGTCATGTTATGACATTCCAAGCCTTTAGTGTTTGGATCTGTAATTTTAAAAGTACCAACAGGAACATCTCCATCTATTTCTCGAGCTTGTAGATTAAATCCTTTAAATCCAGCATCTCCAAGTGCTTCTAGAGTTACTGTGAAAAGAGGCATTTTGAAAAATGTAAATTTCATATATCACCAAAACTGCTTAAATGTTTACCATGCAATTTGCTTCACTCCAAGGCACAAGATTGCATTGTGCATAATTCTGCACAGTGCAGAAATTACTTTAAGTCCTGTACAATTCTTAAAAAAAACCCATTTAAAATACCTTTCTTAATTATAAAGGGAATGGCAACAAAGGAAATAATGGAAAAAATTTGGAAAGGCACTTCTCTATAAAGTAACATGGAATTAATGATTTACTGACAATTTCAAAAGGAATTCGGTCTACCAAATGAGCAGTGGCCCTGCTGTGAAGATGCTCCATCCAGGGCAATTTGGGATTAGAAAGATAAAAAAGGGGGTTTAGCCACAATAGCTCCACCTCATGCAATGTGATAAAATCTGGGATGCAGCTCTTAGAAGAGTGACTCAAAATGTATCACCCTTAAGTAGTCTCATACTGCGTCCTGAATTTTTATTTTCCTGTAGGATGACAGCGTGTGAAGGACTAATGAGGAGGATCCCTTTGTATTGCAGAGGCCTGATTCAACAGCAAACACTCAAATACAAAGTTAACAAGCAACTAATTATTAGTCCAGTTTGGCTAGCTGTCTTACTCAATTTTAATTTTGTCACAAAAAAAATTACAGCATAAAGTTAAGATATATTTATTAGATAAAGAAGAAAGAAAGAAAGAAAGAAAGAAAGAAAGAAAGAAAGAAAGAAAGAAAGAAAGAAAGCATTCTCAGTTAACAAGTATGTCCATATAGACATTAAATATAAAAAATAATAACATCTCAGGTATATATAAACAAGATTGAAGTAAAAAAAAATAAATATCTAGACTGAGAGAGAAATGGGGAGATTTTTAGGAAGATTGGTAATTCTGGAAGACACGGACAAAGATGTTATGTCATTCCAATTGTTTACCTTGGACTTCATTTCCTGGCTCAAAGTTATCAAAAGATACAGCAATAATATATGGTGGTGCAGATGTCTGTGGTTCAGCTTCATAGTTTGGTAACAGAGAATCACAATCAATTGAGGTGTTTGTCTGTGGAAAACCAAGGATTCCAGGCAAAAATATCCCACAGAACAAAACAACAAAGCAGGAGTGTCTCCTCATCTGTGGAACAAAAGACAATACAAGTCACAGGAACTTATTTTAAATAGTTGCCTTGTTTGGCAAATACCAGCTTTTCTCCAAGACAGGAAACAAACAAACCTAGAAAGCTGCCCTCTCTTTGCATTCATGTATTTTGAAGGAAACAATTAAAATACTTATATACACTGTCAGAAAAGTGCAATAAGTGACACAAATATTATAATTTAAAAATACTGAATTATTAATGGAAGATTAAATTTTGAGGTTACATGTCAGCAATCCATTAACAGCCATGTCTCCTGCATTACACCTTTGTACTAGAAAAGCCTTAAAACAAAGTTCCTCATTGTTGCACCAGCAAATTTAGCTCATCTCCTTGGCTATGCAAGAACTCAGAGGGAATCCTTGCTCTCTGTAGATATAACCATGATTAGCATGCTCTTCTTTGACTGCTTTCCCTACTCTCAATTGCAAGTGATGGTCAAGAAATCTAATTAAATGTCCTGGAGTACTCTTAAAGATTTTCAAAGTATTTTTTTCCTGAAGGACTTAACAAGAGATTTCTGCAAAGTCCTCTGGAACTACTAAACAGTTTAACAATACTAAATTACTACGGCATGCTTCCTATTAGTAAGAATAACTATAACCTGTAAATAAACTATAACTAGTACAGAAATTCACAAGAAATAACTAAGAGACAAGACTGAAGTCCAATTTTCCAGGACCGTCCATGAAGAAAAAATGTATTTTCTTTATAGTTCTCTTGCAATGATGGTAAACTGTTTCCAAGAAAGAAAGAAAACATTTCCCAAAAGTATTCTCAGGTGTTTAATATCAGATCTTTCAGCCTATGTCCAAAATCTAAATATTCAACTATAGCACTACATACTTAAAAGGCAATTACATCTTATGAACAACTCACTCTTCCAGTTACAAAATTGCTGATACAACAGTTCAATCTCCAGAAGTATTTAATAATGCTATTTTACATGCTGTCTGCTACAGGATTGCCTCATGTGACACAACAGACAGTAACAGAAAGAATGGAGGTATTTACTTGAGATTTTTTAAAGCATTTCAAACACAATGAAAGAGATATGCTCAATTTGTACCATCTACCCGTGTATCTTAATTCATGTATAATTGTGTAAGATCATTTGTTTTATATGTGCTAATGCAATAAATAACAGAAGCATCTGAAAGCAGGGGGAAAATACAGCTCTGAACGTTTATGTACTTAACTCTGAACTTCAACAACTTTTTAAAAAGCCACTGAGTCAACAAATAATAAGACAGGTGACTGTGAAATGTTGAAAGATTTCCAAGTAGGATGATGGAGGTTTGCATGGTGTCACAACTACTTAGAGCACAACCAGGAAAGTGATAGATGCAAGTTATCATGTCTTTAAAGCAGATGAAGACTGCACCTCTCCAAAGCCTCATCAAAGTGTCACTCTAATGGGATCCTGGTGAGCATCATGTTTTGGTATCAGCACTCTGGGCGCGGTTATCCAATCTCTTGTGACGATTTTGACGTGGCCCACCTCTAATTAAGTTTTAAATACAGCATGTGGGTGCTATTATATCAACAGATGTGGTAAACAGTGATTTAATATGAACCAGTCTGTGTGTTGTTGAAATCTGTCTGACTCATGGAGAGATGGAAAAAAAAGTTTGTTTCTAATGAGGTGTTTCATTTCAAAGCACAAAGTCCTAGTTTTGCTAGGATTGGAAAATTGTCTGGAACTGCACTCTGCCATGAAAGAAAGCCAGTCTGAAATATTTCCTCTTTTTCTTGCTAGAAAAGAGCCAGAAATACAAGTACAACGAGTTGAAACATGGCTGAGAAGCCTTCTCTTTGCATTAGCTCTCTGATTTAATAGTTCAAGAGGTATTCTATGAGTCTCATCATGTCATCTTTTGGAACTAGCTTTTAGATGAAAAAGAGAGATATTAGCATCTTAAAAAATTCCAAGTCCAGACTTCAGGCAGAAAACTTCCATGGGCTCTGAGTTCCAATACATAATCCATGCAATTATGTTACCTTGCATCACATATTTTACATTTTCCCCATGAAAAATGTAAAGAAACAAAAATTAAATATTTATAAAATAGAAGCATAGAGAATTCTGGCAAATAAATGTTATTTGCAGACTTCTAATTGGTTATAATGATGAAAAATTAACTATATCCTCAGTTCCTTCATCTGATGGGAAATTATAATTATTATTTTATCACAGATTCAAACCTTTCTCCCTGTGAGTCTATGTGGCCCTCACCTTAAGCTGCTACCTTAAGAATCCTATTCCATATTTAGTCTAACATGTCTTCAGGCCAACCATTAAATCCCTGCTAGTTAGCTACTGCGTTCAGTCTAGTGGACTCAGGAAGAGACACTTTGGTGGTTTGCTCCTCCAAAGCCTTGGGCAAACTTCTGAATGGAGGCAACAGTTGTTTTAAAAGCTTTTAAATATGGAGCATTTAATGAATATGATAAATACCTCTCCATAATTTGAAAAACACAGTCCTTGCAAGTCCATCCTGCCAACAGTTTAAGACTAGCTCCAGTATACCCCTTTCTATTCCCATTCTTTAGGAGTATTTTTCTCCTTCTTCTAGATGCTCCCGATGAGCCACAGACTTACTCTTTAGCCCTTGAGAATAAGCATTAGCAGTGAGTGTGCACCCTGTCCACCACATCCCCACAACACACCTTATCGACCAGGCGCTGGTGCGTGGGCATCCTCCGGTCCCTCTGTGGTCAGTGTGGAGGAGCTGCAGCCGGGCACTGCGGTGCCCAGCAAGATGAGACAGAGGAGGCAGAAGGCTCGGCCAATCCGTGCCGAGGCAGGAGCCAGCGTGGCCAATCAGGGCTGCCTGCATCTGCCCTGGAAATTGGGACACCACAGGTGGGACTGTCCTGCCCAGAGCTGGCGGTGACAACACCCTCCTCTCAGGTGAGTCACGCCCCTCTGACCTTTATCGAGGCATCTGGCACAGGCAGGGCTTCTGAAGGCTGGTAGCCTAAACCAGTATGTCGACTAAAATCAAAAGAATTATTCTATACAAAACCCCCTACTAACATTTCATAACAATTCCAGTAAAATATTCTATATTAGTCTCAATCTGTTACCACAGAGTATTATGCTGCTACTCTTTTACTTTTCTACTCCTTTTTCACAGTTGGAAAAGATTTGGAAATTCTATTGACTGTCATACTTCCAAGCATTTTCTTAGAGCAAAGAGTTAATGAGGCTGTTTCTTCCCATGCACCTTGTGGGGAGAATCTGAAGTTATTGCAACTGACTTGCACTCAAAACTAACATCTTCTTCAGAAGATTTTCACAAGGTCTCTACTGGAGACTGGGAGAAGTCCAAAAGCTGAATGACATAAAATAGAATAGAATAGAATAGAATAGAATAGAATAGAATAGAATAGAATAGAATAGAATAGAATAGAATAGAATAGAATAGAATAGAATAGAATAGAATAGAATAGAATAGAATAGAATAGAATAGAATAGAATAGAATAGAATAGAATAGAATAGAATATTTTCAGTTGGATGGGACCTACAATTATATGTCTAATTCATGCCTGTCCAAATGCCTCTAAAATACTGACAGGCCTGAGGCTTTGACCATCTCCCTAGGAAACCTGTTACAAGGCGTGATGAACCTCTCAGTAAAGAAATGCTTCCTAATATCCACTCTGAACCTCCCCCAGAACAGCTTTGAACCATTCCCACACATCCTATACTGGGCACCACGGAGAAGACATCAGCGCCTCCCTCTCCACTTCCCCTGCTCAGGAAGTTGTGGAGGTCAATGAGGTCACCACTCAGGCTCCTTTTCTCCAAACTAGACAAGCCCAAAATTCTTTGGTGTGCCTAACAGGACATTACTTTCAGCTCTTTGTTGACCTCCTCTGGACATTTTCAAGGACCTTAGCAATATGACAGACATTCCTATTTAATCAGGGAATTCAGTGAATCTATGAGTCTTTGGTTAATGGAAACCCTTGCACCAAGGACTGTTTATAAGAGCCTTCTTCAACTCCTTAATGTTCATTCATTTAAATGTATTTAAATTCAAAATGCTCATAACATTTTAAGAAAATTAGCTATTTTTAAGATTTAGTGCATTTAACTAACTGTATTCTCTTTCAGTTAATTACCTTTAATAAAGGAGTAGCATTTTATTTATATTGTTCCATTATTCCTATGTGCTGGTATCCATTGGGAAGGAGATCATAATCTTTCTTCTCTTACTATACCACCAAACTTACCATTAATACCAGTGTTATAAATAGCAGTACAAAATCATGCTGCACACCACAAATGCAATAGCATACCAGTAACACCATCAAATAAATTACATAGTAAAGCAATAACAAGTGCTCACACCAGAAACACATAACCAAAGAGATGGGATCTTGCAAATGTGTAATGCAAGACCTCCCTCACAACCAGCCAGAAGATACTGAGAGGTAACCAGAGGGATCAGAACTGTTTCTCCAGGCTACTCTGAGCAGCACTGAGCACTCCATGAATATTTGATTTGACAGTGAGATAGATAAATGTCAGGCAATGAATCGCTGTAATCTTGGTAATATGATTATAAAGAATATAGATAACACAAGCAATATGCTTTTGTTGGCTGTAGCACTAATAAAATACTACAGTGAATAAGCTGGTAAAGACTCAGACCATTAGTTTACAATGTGAGAGTTGTAAACGTGCGTCCCTCTTACACAACACTATGCTTGCAGTTCATTTCAAAGGAACAGTATTCCCACTGAATCAAACATAGGAGACTGATTCAGTATGAATTTACCTGTACTCTAAAATGCCAGTTCAAAAAATAAATAAAGTCTTTTTCAGGTCTACACACTTGAAAGGACAATTTTGAGATCATAATTTAAATACTAGTTGAACAAGTGGTAAACTCCCGACTCTAGTGAAACCATGATTACAAAGTTTGCTATGTGCTGAAACTCCTGTGCAGAACAACACTACACTGTGTGCCCATGGAATTCCCTGGTGCTTGGAATGCCTTCAATGCAAATTCCCGTGGGAATATTAGCCTCTTTTTTTTTTTTAGCTGTGATTGTATGTAGCCCATATGCAGTTAGCTGGTCTTTCTTTAAAATAATCACTTTTGATTTGTCCCACCGACAGTGGGCCAATTCATTTTAAGAAGAAGCCTGGGAGCATGGCAGAGAGGCCAGAGCCCAGAACACTGAAAGGAAGGGAATACCTACTGGGCAGTGGATGAAAATCTTAAAGGGTACATGATGGACACAGGGGAAGCCAGCTACTCACATAAGCAAAAGACTGTCTTCTTGAATAAAGGACTGCAAACCCTGGCAGAGTTTCCAGTACTACCTTGTTTCTAGTAAAATCTGTTTAAAATAAATCAGAGTGAACAGCCCACTTCCTTCCTCCTCACTGACATCAGGACCTCCAACCACTTTCATGACCCTCAACAGCTTTCTGCTTGCTCTCTACACCAGTGAGCCAAAGATGACTTTTAATCTGGCAGTTTATGCTGCACCTGTTGCCAATATACATATATAAATAATATGGTAAAATAGGTGAAGTTATTTTCATCAGGGTCTGGTATCCTTATCAAACTGCTTTGATGTTTCCCATAGGCAATAGATACACTCCTGAGTCTTGGCCTGGGCAGGAGAATTGGCAAACTCTTTGCTCAGATGCCTCACATGTGCTGGACACAATGAGTGTTGCAACAATAGCCGCTCCAAAATGATTTCACAGAAAATATACATAAAAAGTGCTCTTACAGATATGAAGTGCTGAGTTTGTAACAATCTATGTCTTTTGTTAAGTACTCCAAAGTGACTCTATGGAACAGTAAAAATGAGTGGGAAGGGAGGGAAAGAAACTTCATTTCTTCCAAGAACTATTTTTCACAGTCCTGAAAAAAATCACAACTATTTCTGAACATCCTTGACTCCTCCTATGTGCCAGGTGCCTTTCCAAGCTCTCCCTGTCCTTTCCTTTGTTTCCTCCTTGCTTCAACAGAGAAGGTCAAGAATAATCCCTACAAATGACAGAAATTAAATTGTTCTCCTGACATCTATTATGATCATTTGAGACATTTCTGTAATATTCCACATTTCATCAAATGAAAGCAGCTTTCTCAGTTTACAGTATTAGTGTGATAAGAGGATGTTATAATTGTATACTTTCTGTGTATAACTCCAGAGTACCCAACAGAAGTTATTTTCAAAAACATTCTAGTATAAATTTAGTGGTAAGGATTCCAAGGTGAATTATGATTAAATGAAAAGACACACTTATTTAGTCTTCCTTCAGAACCAGCATGTCTCCTGCCTTATACTAGCATGTCAATATTTACATCCTGTTTCCAAGGACTTAAAGTATTGCCACATTTTTTATTTATAAAGGAACATTTTGCTTCTCATGCTCAATAAATAGATTCCCATCTTGAAAATACACCAACATATCATATAGCAATATTACATATTGCTCAAAATAACACTAGATATAAATATGTTTTTATTCTTCAGAAAAAAAATGTTTAAAAAAATTGTAATACCAACTAAAATTTACATAGTATATTTTGCTCTCCCAAGGAAATATGTTAAATATCTTCTTGATAAACATTCAACTCTCTGATAATTCAGAAAACCCCATTTTTCTAGGGAAAAAAAAATGATGTGAAAATGATCCTTTCCTACATATTAAAAAATTTCAACTCCTTGTTGTCTTTAATTTCTTGTCTTCACTCATGTTAGCACTTTCCTGTCTGATTTGAACCCTGCTAACATCTGTGTAAAAATAAGTAATTCTATAAATAACAAAATGGTTCACACCCTGAAAGTCCTAGATAGATTAAGTCACTGGGATCCTGACATGAGAATTAGTGAGCAAAAAACAGGTTTGCCTTGACTTGACATAAGAGTAGAAAAGGAGTGATCAAATGGATTACTTCCACCAAACCTTTTGTGTCCCAGAAGAGGTGAGGGTGAACAAGACTGTGCAGAGTGATGGGTGCCATGCATTTACGTGCTGCTCAGGAGAAGCACCTGACATGAACAGCACATACAAGAGCAATGACATATGAGCATTGCATCACGTTATCTCATGCATTGTGCAAGCTAACAAGTGGTATTGTCCCTTTGTGCTTTTAAGGTGAGTGCCTGGGTGTGGCTGCAAACATATGCAATACTTCATATAAGCCACAGTGACTACCATTTGTTAGTGACTTACCAGACTCTACATTGAGATTTAAGTAAACCTACAAATGTTAATGGAATGGAAGAAATTATAGCTGAGGGATCCTGCTACCGAGATATGCAGTCCATGAGAAAACTGGAGCCTTAATATTAACAATGAAAATTCACTGTTTTCCCAGTCATGGAGAAGATAAATGGTCTCTCTTACATGCATTACCTACTGGTATTACTGAGAAATTCTCTTTGACTGTAATTTGTATTTATAGATCCAGAATACTTCAAGGACCACTGAAATATGTTTACAGGCTATTTCTAAGTCCCTGTGGCCTAGAGAATTCTCCTGCACAGTGGGGTTAAAGCAGTGCACCTCTATCCCTGTATGGTCCACTCATGAGTGAGCAGCTGGCATTCAGACATGTAAATTCAGCTTTAGAGCTTCTGCCAGTCCAACAGTAGTGGGTCAAAAGCAGCACAGATATAGGATACAAATGCTATAAATAGGAGTTTATACTGGATTATA